GCCCCGCCCAACCATCCTCACAAGCATCATGTTTGCTTTATTAATGGATGAGTTGTCAAGGAGGAAAGTTGGAAATGTATATTTTGTTTATAATATTAAACTGCACTAACGAGAGCACTTCTGTACCTACCTATATATGTGTTGTTATTTATTTTATAAACAATTTATGTTCGTTTGAGTGGAAACGAATAAGAACATAAACCTGTAAGCCATGAACTTTGTGCAGATGGCCAGGCAATTTTTTCATGGTACCAGGATTGTCATTCCAAGATGTTTACGACAAAGGATTTTGGAATTAATTCACAAAGGACATCCAAAAATCGTAGTTATGAAACGAAATCTGCGTTCAAAAGTGTTCTGATCTGGAGGGACACAGAGTTGGAAAAGACTTGTCAACGTTTTTATGGTTACCAATTCGTCATTACACCATCTTAACCTGAACCGATGACTAGAACTCAACTACCAAGTGTGCACTGGGAAAATCTTGCTTAATACTTTCTTTTTGAGTTCATCAGTGAAATCCTCATTCTTCTTTTCTTTTAGAACCTTCTTGTCATGTTTCTGCTGCACTCAGGACAAAACTCGCTCATGTTCAACTCTAACTCCATTGAGACGGTCTGATGCCCCCATCTCAGCAAGCTGTTGGTTCAAACTCTATTTTGGGAATACAGCTATCTACAGGCTTTTTACTTCCTGGAATGATATCTTGATAAAAGTAAATGTGAATCAAGGGATTTTCTACCTGGTCACTAGTAAAACAAATATTGGATTTATTACTAATGATTATTCTTTTAATTAAAGTCATCTCTTTTAACGTTTATGCTCTTATAAGGTGCTCTTCATTAAGGCTTTTAATGCTTCAAATCATAACTTTTTTTCACTTTTTGTGCAGGACCACGTTTTTACTAGAGAATAAAGCCTCTTTGTTCATTTTCTTTGTTGGGGGTCTAAATTGCAGGATTTAAAATCTATTCATTATTTTATAATGCAAACAAATATTAATGTTTTTACATGAACTGTATACATACGTTATCTATGATCAGTTTTTAAGCACAACTGATCTGTGTGACTCATTACTGCTTCTTTATTTATCTGCATACGATTTGTGATGAATCAGTTCTGATTATTGGATTAAACAAAGCCTGGGGTATCAAGCTGTACATTAAAAAAAAAAGCCATTACGCTAGCATGAAAAGAAAGTAAACAATTAACTGGTTTTTATTTGGCAGAAAATAGTGAGTATGTCTTTGAATATTTTTCTTATAAGATCAATAATACTGATTATTGAAACTCAAAATACTATTTGGTTTATACATTTCTTTTATATTCGAATGCCTTAACACGAAGACTCATTGAGGTCAAATTTTCAGAAATTGACTTTTTGGTGAATTTTGATAGCCGGACTCTTTCGGAATGCCACTATATTAAATTTTGAAAATATCTCACCTTCTCAGTATTTTATAAGCATTTTAGTAAGGCGAGCCAAAATAACTTTGAAGTTACTCACCGAAAACGCAATGATTTAGCCTGCGTCTAATTCAGTTCTAAAAAAAATCTTAAAATTACATTGAACCTCAATTGTTTTGAGGATAGCAAATTCGGGAAAATGTATAATTTCTTTCTTTCAAAAGACCTGTATTTAGCTGTTCCTGAGAGATTTCATATCAATTTAGAGCAGATATATAGCTAGTAATTTCGTTAAGGTGTTGTGATTCAAGAAAAATCAAGGAACGTTTTATTATGTATTCAGTAGGCAAAATAATACTTGTTTAAATTCATACAAATCAGTTTTATATAACATAATACAGCTCAATTAATAATATATATAAAGCACTTGTAACATTTAAACATTAAGGGGGGAGAGAGAGAGAGAGAGAGACAGACAGACAGACAGACAGACCAGAATCTGTTATGAGTCAGCATTCAGTCACAAACACACACAAGCGTAACTTTATTACCTGTAACTGTGACAATAAAAAAAAAGCCACCATTTTTTTTCTGTTTCACCGAAAAAATCAAACGAGAGAAAAAAATCAGATAGGCCAGGATATATCAATTTGTTTTTTAAAACGTTTATTCCGTTTATAAAAATAAATGAATTATAAAAATAAGTCCACTACTTCAATGCAAGCTAATTTTTTATCTTACTTTTTGAATATTTATTTAAAAAATTTAAAGCACTAAGTTTCCATTGTTCATACATTGTATAATTTGTTTTCTTTGTCTATCTTATATATGGCGTAGAAAGAAAATAAAGAGGCAAATAATACTGTCAAAGGATTCTCTTATATGTAGTTTATATACTGTGTCTACGTTGAATTTTTTTTTTAAAATTTACTAGTCTTTTTTAAGTAAAGCACAATTAAAATCGGTTACAAATACTCGTATTTCTGAAATTTAATTTTTCTAATTTTAAAGTACCCCTACCCTGTTTTAATTGCGCACAGCATTTGTATATTTCTTACAAGGAACGTTGGTATGATATAAAAAAATGGGTGTAGATCTATTGTACAGTTTATAAAAGAAATGGGCAATTGTACTGTCCTTGTCGTTATTTAATATGTGCACATTAAACGGTGTTTGGCTTTTCTGGCGAAATTACTATTCCATTCCAAGTTTAACGAAATTTAATTGAAAGTGAATGAATTTATAAGGTCTAAGGTTTAATGTTAATGATTTTAAACGATTTAATAACTATCGGAGATACCCATAAACACGTGTTTACTATGTTTTCCTGTATTTGTGAAACTGTATATTTTTAAAAGATGTCGCTATTTCTTACATTCGCCAGAAATTCGTACGTATTTTAGCTTAATCTACGGTGTGTTTATTTTTCATCTGGTTTATATATATTCTCATTCAAAATATATCACTGTCGATGTAATATCGTTAATATCTTCAACATTGGGTATTATGCTTTGGGAAGTCTACGATAGCTGTATTTAATTTCTAAACATATCGCAGTTCAGTTTCGAGTAGGATTCCATTAATCCGAACAATTTAAGAAAAATGAAATATAAGTAATTTTTAACACATACTTCTTTTAATTGAAATTATTTGATCATTTCAAATTGGTTTTTGAAACAAAAATTATTTCTTGCATATTTTCGGGGCTTCCCAATCCTCCTTTTTTTTAGCATATTCTCTTACTGTTAATTTAGGATAGAGTTATTTATTGTTGTTGTAGAAGGTTTTTATCTCCAACGTAACCAGTAGCTATATCCAATCAATATGATCAAAGAGGGGCTATTTTTTTAGCTTGAACTTTAACCTGTTGTCTTTTTATTCGGAGATTTTTTTGACTTGTCTGCTGATCTCCTACACTTTTTTACACAGATTTAAAAAATCGACAGTTCATCGTGGACTGGCTATCGGAGTACATTATTTTGATTACTAAGGATTGAAATTAAAATGACTATATAAACATTTTAAATTATGATATATGTTTTTTTCAGAAAAAAAGCTATATACTGCTATTTAAATAGATCTCTTGCTCGCGCTTTCTCTCTTTTTCTGAAAAAGATATACATATGTATGGAATATACCTTTTAAGTAATATGAAGACTTCTTAACATCAATCAAATATAAATATGCATTTGTAAATTGCTCTGAAAAAACATACACAGCAAATTCAATTTAGTCAGGTAAAGACATTGATTTAATTGCTGTTCCTAAGTCGTGTATATCAGCATCAATTTGAATTCTTCAACATAATTATGTATACATTTACGTTGTAAATAGTTATAATATTATAATGTCTTATGTAAAAAATGTCCGCATCAAATACACATAGAATTTTTTTCATACTTTGAAATCTAATTTTAGTTCTTGTTCATTAAAACGCAGTCAACAAAAGTTTCAGGTCTTAGTGCTTACAAAACGGCGACTTTGACGTCGTTTTCTGATCATTGTGACGTCAAAAGATAAGAGCCCTTTTTTGTAACGGCAGTCGATTTTGTTTTTATAGTCCATGTATCAAGTGTATTATTTAAGGAATGTTTTTAAGTTTTGTGTGAGTTATTGGTGTGTGAATCACACAGACTTGTCACGTAAGCATATTTCATGAAGCGTGTCCACAGTGTATTAATGCAAGTGCACATTATGACGTCATATGATGACGTCATTGTTCTCTCCAATTCAAGGTAATAAAACACATCAACAAAACAACGGCGACGTATCCTATTTAATTTAAAATAAAAAATGTATAACATTAAGGAAAATATTCTTAAAATTAAAAAAATTGCTGCACATATCCTATGTATTTTCTCAATCGATAAAAATTTTAGGAAACCTACACTGGACTGTGTATTTTTACCCTGTTTAAACTTAAAACTGCACGAATCGTAACTAAACAATTGCAGTTTCGAAATTGGTGCACCAATATCTTAAATACTTGGGATATTCTGCGTCCTTTTATACCTTGGTTCTGTAAAACAAAGCAAGGTATGCCCTTGCGCCGAAGCGATTTTGTTGATGTTTCTTATAAATTTGTAGAGATCGATGTCGTCATAATATGACGTCATATTGATACTGATTTTCACATTTTGTGGGTACCAAGAATGTATTTAGAAAACATGTTTTAACTTTTTCTGTGCGGTAGGTAGAGCAATTATGGAATTCAATTAGATATTTTGCATAGAAACATCCATATGTAGTCTTAATTCTATTGCGTTGAATCTGATGTTAGTTCATCATTAAATAACCCCAGTAGGGTACCCTCTTCATGGACAGTAGCTATGATGAGTAATAAAACAATTAAATCAAAAAATAACAAAAATCCTTTGTTCACTAATGAACCGCGGGAATACCACTGCTGCTTTAAATTAACACGTCATCACTGAAGCCAACATAAAAGCGCACTGAGGCCAGATACACTAGCGCTATTTCATGTTGTTCTGTAATGAACTGGACAGTGATGAAGTAGAATTATTAGTGAAATTCGATTAATATCTTATTACAAGGTAAATATGATTTTAATTTAATTCTAGTTTACAATAGATATGGCTACCTCTCAGGGACAGGACATCATTTGCTGCCAGTTGTGTTCCAACCCTGTAGAACACCACTGCAATCTCTGTCGTGTTGACCTCTGCCTCACGTGTATACCAAAACATATGCCGGACAAATCAAGGGAACATGAAATTGTTGGATACGCTTCTAGAAAACAAGATTCTTTTTCTCTAGCACTATGTAACACACACAAGAATAACAGGTGTGAGACTTACTGCCTAGATTGTAATATACCAATATGTATTCAATGTCTGATAGGTTTGCACAAAAAACATGAATTTACCGATATCAATGACATTCTCCAAGAATATAAACAGCAAATTATAGCTGACACAAAAGAACTTGAAAATACGGTTCTTCCAAAATACAGAAACATAAACCTGAGTACAGCCTCCAGAAGGTTTGATAAAGTTGTGTCTGCCGTAAAAGAACAAGAAGAGAAAATCTGGAAAGCTGTACATGAAATAAGCATTCAACTCACAGATGAAGTAGCTATGCAGAAAAAAGAAGCTATAAGTAAATACAAAGAGAACCAGTCTTTGGCTGAAAAGGAAGTCAATCAAATTGTCAAAGAGAATAAACATATCATCAGAAGTAATGATGCATCAGCCATAATACGCTATCAAACAAGGAATGAGGATTTCCGAAAAGACCCAGAATTACCAAGGTTGTCTTGTTTAAAGTTACTACCTGGTATTATTAAAAAAGACCAGATTGTGTCCATGTTCGGTTTTCTTCAGACAGAAGAAGACTTTAATAAGCCTGGGATGCTGAAAATGATGGATGAACCTTTGATATTTAGAACAATACAAAGTCCTTTTGGAGGTTGGCGTAGACTATGGCGAGTTCAGTGTGTCGGGAGTGAAAGTATCTTGATCAGTGGAGGTGACAGCACAATTAAACAAATAGACAGGACTGGATCGATTTTAAAAACAATTCAAACAAATGATAATGTGTGGGCACTAACAATTAATTCACAACAGGATCCAATATTTTCAACCATGCATTTTAAAAGAACAGACATATACCAATACAATGAGGGAATAGTTAAGGTATTACTTGGCATACGTGACTGGTTTCCTGTTGGTCTATGGTATTCAGGGAACGGAAATTTGCTGGTCAGTATGCGCTCTATGGACACGACACAGAGTAGGGTGGTGAGATACTCGGGGATAAAAGAGAAACAGAAGATCCAGTTTGACAGAGATGGACAACCTCTGTTTTCTACTGGTGTGGAGAAAACAGTAATTCTACTGACTGAGAATGGAAATGGAGATATTTGTGCTGCTGACTGTTATGGGAAGATGGTTGTTGTGGTGGATTCTTCTGGGCCACTAAGATTCAAGTACACAGGCATTCTCTCCAACCAATCAAAGTACAGAGAATTTTCACCTTCTCACATTGCCACTGATGTCTGTACACAAATACTGATAAGTGACAAAAGTAACAACATTGTCCACATTATAGACAGTGATGGTAACTTTGTCCGTTATATAAAACAACCATGTGACGGAGGACTGAGTATTGATACAGATCACAATCTTTTTATTGGAGACAAAGATACTGGAAAAATTCAAGTTATCAAATATTTAGAATGATAAAGTTATGATGTTCCTCCGAAAAGTAAATGGCTTCATCCACATTGATGACATCATTGATTAAAAAAAAACATAACACTGAATCTCGTGTATTTTCCTGTTTCCTATGATTGTACACAGCTTTACGTGGTTGGGGAAAATATCTACAATCCAAGTCAAGTATAAAGAATCATGCAGAGATTCAGAAATTCTAGTTCCACAGCCAGCATCTTTGTTTGTTTTGTATGCATGCAATTATCATTATATAACATGTACATGATCTAAAGTGTTTTAGGTTTTCTCAAAATCTTTATGAGGAAATAACAGATGAAAAGTCTTTGCCACAAGTTACAAACAAGTACAATTTAAAATCCCATGTAACAACTTAAAGAAATAGTTTAAACTTCATGATCAATGTTATAATTGCAAGTACTCAAAGAAAAGCCTTCTCATCGAATAGAAAACAGAAACCAAATGAATACAAAGTGAACTTTGGGGCAAATCTGAATTCAGCTGCCAAACCTTCAGTAAGATTGATTGATTGTTTGCTGATTAACGTTCATGTCGAGAATTTTCACTCATATGGAGATACCACTTCTTCCCTGTAGAGGGCTACGAATTCTGACCTTTACTCGGCACGAAATGCCATTGAAGAGTGTTGGATCTTTTTCGTGGTTGCATGTACTGCAGCACGGGACCTTGGTTAATTATGTCTCTTCTTAAGGATCGGTCTCGATCCACTGCGGTCTTCTTACTTTCGTAAGGATCGAATATTTACTCCGTAACTCTAGAGCAAACGCTGAAACTACTGTATCACGCGGGCGAACCCTTCAGGAGGAAAAGTCGACCCGAATTCTTTGATTCATTTATTTCTCACCTCCTCCTTCCACCTTTGTAGGGCCTCCACTCATTTTCTACATACCCCCTCTTTCCCCTTTGTAGAACCTCAGCTCATTCTCTACCTACCTTGTTTTTCATCCTTTGTAGGGTCTCCACTCATTCACTATCTACCTCCTCCTTCCCCCTTTGTAAGGCTTCCACTCATTTTCTATTTAACTAGTCTTTCCCCCTTTGTAGGGTCTCCACCCACTCACTACCTACCTCCTTCTTCCCCCTTTGTAGGGCCTCCACTCATTTTCTATTTAACTCGTCTTTCCCCCTTTGTAGGGCCTCCACTCATTCTCTACCTACCTCCTTCCCCCTTTGTAGGGTCTCCACTCACTCACTACCTACCTCCTTCTTCCACCTCTGTAGGGCCACCACTCACTTTCTATTTCATTCGTCTTTCCACCTTTGTAGGGTCTCCACTCACTCACTACCTACCTCCTTCTTCCCCCTTTGTAGGGTCTCCACTCACTCATTACCTACCTCCTCTTTCCCCCTTCGTAGGGTTTCCACTCATTCACTACCTACCTCCTTTTTCCCCTTTTGTAGGTCCTCCACTCATCCACATTACCTCCACTTTTCCCCTTTGTAGGGCCTCCACTCATTTACTACCTACCTTCTCTTTCCCCCTTTGTATGGCCTCCACTCATTCTCTATCTAACTCGTCTTTCCCCCTTTGTAGGGCCTCCACTCATTCTCTACATACCTAATCTTTCCCCCTTTGTAAAGTCTACACTCACTCACTACCTACCTCCTCTTTCCCCCTTTGTATGGCGTCCACTCATTCTCTATCTAACTCGTCTTTCTCCCTTTGTAGGGCCTCCACTCATTCTCTTCCTACCTCCTTCTTCCCCCTTTATAGGGCCTTCACTCATTCTCTATCTAACTCGTCTTTCCCCCTTTTGTAGGGCCTTCACTTATTCACTACCTACCTTCTCTTCCCCCCTTTGTAGGGCCTCCACTCATTTACTACCTACCTTCTTCTTTCCCCTCTGTAGGACCTCCACTCATTTACTACCTATTTCCTTTTTCCCTTTTGTAGGGCCTCCACCTGACTCTCTGTGGCCTGAATTTTCCCCTTCAGTTGGGCGTTCTCTGTCTTTGCCTCCATTAGAAGATCCTGGCATTGTTTGAAACTGGTGGAGGTCCTTATCGAGAAAAACTTATTTGATTGTTTGACATGTTCAATTATATTGTAAATAACAAATCATGAAACATTATATTCTTATTTTTGTAAAGATCTACAAAACATCTTGTTTTTATTCTTAAGATTTTCAGCACTACTGCTCCAGATAAGAATATTAACTTTAAACTTTTATTTTTTGTACTATTATGTATAACCTATTTTCATTTTTTCTATTCTGAAATATCATATGGTATTTTTATACTAGTGTGTATAAAGGAAATAACTCACTAGTCAATAGTGATTTTACAATTCAGAAATCAAATACCGAATAAGTAGAATTTTTAACGAGGATTTAATTTTGGCATTATTAGCGAGGGTGTTGATATCACATAAATTGAATATCGCTAAAAATTAATTGCGTTTATTTTGTTATATTTTCTTTAATAAACATTTCAAGATCGCTAAAATAACATCTCGCTAAAAATAAATAACCATGTTTTAAGGAGAAATCGCTAAATTTGCGTCTCGCTAAAATTTTCACTTATACGGTAAAAGCATGAACTATGTTCATGAAAAATTGACTGGAGAGTTTAAGAAAATAAAAAAATATTCTAAAAAATGGTGAAGAGGTAAAACTTGTATATTACTTTCTACGTTTTCATTAACTTGATATTCCTAATGCGTTTTTGTATCTTATTAAAGGTTTCTCTATTTGAAATCCTTCCTTATGTCACCTATGCTTGTTCCAAATATGAAGTCTTAATGTTGAAAGACTCTCAAGTTCGCAGTACAGTTAGGTGCGCAATTGAAATATCGACTAAATTTTGTATTTAAAAATGTATTTTTAGTACATTATTTATATTGGATAATTGTAATTATGATTAATAACTACATATCGATGACGATTATATTTTATATTTAGACTAGTCACGTGATGCGGCATTCATGCGATTTTAGCACATTGACTTGAAGTATTGATGGTACATATAAATCTCGCTAGTGCAAGGGGTTTACCAATTTAAATTTCCAAGTTTAGTAAATACATATTTTTAACACACATTGTAGTTTTTAAAAAGTGCTGCAATCCTGTCTAATTTCTGCAATTTCATTGTTAAAATCATACTTGTATCACCAAATGCTATATTTTTCGCTGGTCAGCGGCGTGTAATATTGATATAATTAAATTGTTTTTAAGATTTCATCAGGATCGCAGCACTTTTCAGATACCTTAATAGTTCTATAGTTGAAATGAAAAAGCTTACTTTGATCCACAGAGTGTATGCCCTTTCACTAGATCGACTTATTAAGACCCCCACATTACTCTCCGATGTACTTGCATACAAATATACGGCAGTGTCAATTAAATACGTAATGTACAGAAAACATATTAATAAAATAGTAAAGAAGACATTAAATTCAATTTATTGGCCCATAGAATATCTGTAAATAATATTTTATTTAATTAGAGAATACATATTTTGTTGAGAAAATATTACTTGATCTGTCTCTCACTGCATACCAACTACGTCACATTGTAAGAAATGACGTCATATTGACAAGTGTATTGCGATCAGTGACTTGTTTACAACTTGTTATGTGGAATTTAACTAACGACAAAACAACACGCTGTGGTAGGTTTTTATGTAGTTTGACGATTTCTTACTGGTTAAATTGGCAGATAAACTCATTTTGTGGTATTTCAAAGAAATGATGCATGACGTATATTGTGTATGATGTCATAGTCAAGTTTTCCCGTACAAATTAGGCTCCGCCTCCTTTTTGTAACCTTAACTGTGCTGCGTTGTCTTCAAATTATGTTTCTTCTCAATTTGACTTTGAAGAAAGAAGGGAATCAGTCAAAATTCGGATGTAATGTATCTTGTATCAATGTTTTCTTTTCTTGATAAAAGTTTAAAGTCCTAGAGTCAAATGTTTCTCAACTCATGGCCTTGACACTATTTTGCCGCAAAAGATATGCCATTCATAAAAAAGGTCAAAGTCAAAGATATTGGTGACATAGTTTGAAATCTCGAAGTCAAATGATATTTAGGTTACGGAGCCATTCTTAATCAGAATGTAAGGAGTGGGAATATGGGAATAAGAAGATCGATCAAAACTATGTCTTTGTTGGAAGAGAGACATTGATATTCCTGTCAAAGGTTGTAAAAATTGAAGATTCCATCAGAATTCAAACAGGGTCTTTCATGTATCATGCCAGAGCTAGAAATGTTGAGCTATTGAGACTACATATATTCACTTTTATTAAATGTCATATAATTTTTTTATATAAAATTGATACCATGAAAATGTCTATTCTTCCGAGAAGAGTCTATTTTCTTCATCTGAAGATTACTCCTAGGAAAATAAGGGCTACTCGCTTGAACTACTCCCTCTAGATTATATTTTAGTAATTTTATCAATCAAAGTGTTCAGTAGGCGGAGCGTTCAAGGAATCTCGCATCTGTGACGTCACGTTATTAGCAATGTAACCATGAGGTCAAAACATTTCGACATGCCATGTCAAAGTCATACTTGAATTCCAGCAACATAAAGACACCGACAATTCTTCGAAATGTCGGTGGAAATACCTTTCAAAAATAATTTAATTGTTTTAAGACACAATGCATTACTTATCGTATAATCTGTTAAACTGCATGCATTTGTTATTATGCCTCTGCAGTGTTAATTTTAAATGTCGAAATGTCTGGTAAAGAAAAAATTAACCGTCTACAGCATTCTTTCAGCATAATAAAACAGTTATGGAATGGGAACTCGGAAAATATCAAATTTATGGTTTCCCTCGAGAGTAAACTATTTCCGTTCCTCGAGGAACTATAAATTTGCTATTTCCCTTGCACCCATTCCATAACTGTATCATATTAAAAAACATGAATAAGCAGCTCTTGAGATGCCCTACGGCTCTCCTGGATTTGTTTTAATGAGGACATTGAGCAATACAGACTCTGGACTATAGTAGGGAGGTCCTCCCAGAGAGGTGGAGGTTGGGAGG